CTGGTGCTGAACACTGCACATGTCCACTGCACAAAAGACTTACCACCCTGTTCATACTTGCCAACAAACAATTGGCATATGTTCATGCAAACCTGGTGTACTTGCTGATAAAGACATACACTGCCCAGTGAGGGGCTCAGATAGAACTCACAACCACAAGGTTAAGAGTCTTGCCCTCTTCCACTGAATGAGCTGAACAGGCACATTTTCAAACCTCGTACACACAGAGACATGTATGGAGTGTGCACCAATGGATGTGTTGCACAGAAAGGGACCAGACCAGATGTAGGGCTCAGCAGTGGCACAACCAGTAGGGTGCAAAAATGTTTCCCATTCAGATATACTGGATATCCAATCATGGATGCATCTTACAAATACAAATAACCCACTACCCATGTCACTTACAAATTTCACGATCAGACATCCCTCTTCCAGCTATTCACATGTGTAGTATGGAATTCCCACTTATCATGCTCCCGAAATCCACCCAGCACCCAACATGTGAATGCCGAGTAAAGGACATGTTTTAGCTGTTGAAGACATGTGTACGTGGATACATATCCCGAGCCTACCAGGGATCGAACCTGGAATCTCCGGTTCCGTAGACCGGCGCTTTATTCATTAAGCCATAGGCCCTTATCCGAGTTCAGGCACTCGTTAAACACCAGGAACGTGTTGTATTCATTGACGAGCTTGGCACACAGGCCCACATACAGCTCAATCATTAAGCCACAGGGACACAGGTAGAATTTATGTGCCATGATGTCAAGCAACAACAAACAAAGTGCACAATCTGGTCTGTTGATGCACCTTTTTGTGGGAAAACAGGGACTGTCACTTTATACCATACATGGAGCCTTAGGGTGAATTCTCCCAAGGTCGTGGGTTTCTGAGCCTTCTCCTGCGGTGTCTCTCACTCGTTCCTATTTGGTTGACTTAAGCTGGCAAGTATGGGTGAGTGTCTTGGCAGCTCTTGTCGCCTCCAGCACAGTGCATGGCTAGCTGGCCCATTGGCTCTACTTTTCAAGAGTTTGGAACCCACTGCAAGGCATACATACACAACAAAGGAATGTATTGAACATGTTTTTCTCAAAACATTTTGATGCTGGGTCATACATACATACTACACAGCTCACCATGGCCATGCCAGCCACCATTCCACATGAAAGCGTGATCCAATGGTACATTTCAGATAGTGTTTTTATGTGCAGGTCATCAGCATGGCAATGCATGGAGGATGCAAACTGCAGCCATATGTGGGCCAATAATAGGTGGGATGGATATTTTGAACTGGGGTCTGCACATACAATCCCTAAACATATATAGTCATACTTAGTTATGCAGTTTTTGGGCGGGGCCCCAGCGCGAAGCGCCCAGGAGGGCCCCGCCCTCGAGGATTGCCCATGTCCGTGCCTGCACTGTCTAATGTAAAAGGGCAAGTGCAGAATTTTGGCCAACGGAAAGACTCCATACGTAAAATATTACGTTCTCTATTGCATGGTAAATTTGGAATTTGGAATTTGGAAATGGAACCCAACCTCGTATGAGTAAAAACCAGTTTGGCAGTCTCCATGAACCGAGGCCGAGGTCAAACCAACGCCTCTCGGCCTGTAATAAATTCCAGAAGATCCATCGTTTCTCGAACTAGAATCCTGACATGACGGCGTGAAATGGATCTTCATTTCGGCAAACAACTATGTTTGCATTGCGAACATTCTTCCCGCGAACACACCACAGCAGCTCTGCTACCCAATCCGATCGACTTGACGCATAATACTATTACAAAGGTTGCAAGGGACAAACCATGAGGGACAAACTGCTGGTTGTCGGACGCCAAGCGGCAAATTGCACGCACGATGCGGCGGTCTTCTGCTGCGGGCCGCCAAACAAGTCCAGTCGGCAACCTAGGGGACTTCTGCATTCCCTGTCCTAATGTTAACGTTGTCAAGCCTCCTCTACGGCGAATACCTCGGTAGCGAAGCCTGTGCACTCTCGTCGGTGGCAAGTGCACGTCGTTGCGACCCTCGACAAGGGGTTGGTGTCGGCTTCCTTGAAGCCGGAAAAAGGGCGGGGCCCCGTTCAATCCGTACGGGTGGAGTTGAAGGGCTAGGGCGGCGAGGGCGTGAAGTGTGAGAGTGTCAACATTCCTGCTGATAGACAGCCAGAGCTTTCAGCAATCCGCCCCATGTTTAGCATCGCGTGCCGTCTCAGCACTGTGCAACTCTTCCGGCCAGCGCATTGGCTGAAGTTACTTGACAGTAGACATGCAGTGTATCATTCACACATCACGCAGGCTGACTTGCCAATAGAAGGACAGCGGAACTGTTTGAGAGGGCCGCGATGATGACGTGCAGTTGCCGACGAGAGTGCACAGTCTTCGCTACCGAGGTATTCGTCGTAGAGGAGGCTTGAAAACATTAGGACAGGGAATGTAGAAGTCCCCTAGGTTGCCGACTGGACTTGTTGGGCGGCCCGCAGATGAATCGTGCGTGCATCGGCGGCTTGGCGTCCAACAACCAGCATTTTGCCCCTCATGGTTTGCACCTTGCAACCTTTGTAATAGCAATATGCGTCAAGACGATCGGACCGGCTAGCAGAGCTGCTGTGGTGTGGTCGCGGGAAGAATGTTCGCAATGCAAACATAGTTGGTTGCTTGCCGAAACGAAGATTCATTTCACGCCGTCATGTCAGAATCCCACCTTAAGGAACGATGAATGTTCTGGAATTAATTATAGGCCGAGAGGTGTTGGTTTGACCTCGGCCTCGCTCCATGGAGACTGCCAAACTGGTTTTTACTCATACGAGGTTGGGTTCCAATAATAAATTTACCGTGCAATAAAGAATGTAATCTTTTACTTATGCAGACTTTCCGTTGGCCGAAAGTCCACACTTGTCCAATTACTTCCAGCACCGTCTACCGTCCCACGTCCCACGTCCCACGTCCCACGTCCCACGTCCCACGTCCCACGTCCCACGTCCCACGTCCCACGGGCACACGGACATGGGCAATCCTACAGGGCGGGGCCCCCCTGGGCGCTTCGCGCTGGGGCCCCGCCCAAAAACTAACAGTTCCATTTGCAAGTCAGCATGCGTGATGTGTAAATGATACTCTCCATGTCTATTGTCAAGCTACTTAAGCCAAGCAATGTGCTCGCGGGAAGAGTTGCACAGTGCCGAGACGGCGCGCGATGCTAAATATGGGGCGGATTGCTGAAGCCGCAGGCATTTCAGATATAAACCTCTGGCTGTCTATCAGCAGGAATGCCGACACTCTCACACTTGACGCCCTCGCCGCCCTAGCACTGAACTTAACCCGTACGGATTGAACGGGGCCCCGCCCTTTTTCCGGCTTCAAGGAAGCCGACACCAACCCCTTGTCAAGAGTTTGGAACCCACTGCAAGGCATACATGCACAACAAAGGAATGTATTGAACAGGTTTTCTCAAAACATTGTGATGCTGGGTCATACATACATACTACACAGCTCACCATGGCCATGCCAGCCACCATTCCACATGAAAGCGTGATCCAATGGTACATTTCAGATAGTGTTTTTATGTGCAGGTCATCAGCATGGCAATGCATGGAGGATGCAAACTGCAGCCATATGTGGGCCAATAATAGGTGGGATGGATATTTTGAACTGGGGTCTGCACATACAATCCCTAAACATATATAGTCATACTTAGTTATGCAGTTTTTGGGCGGGGCCCCAGCGTGAAGCGCCCAGGGGGGCCCCGCCCTCTAGGATTGCCCATGTCCGTGCCTGCACTGTCTAATGTAAAAGGGCAAGTGCAGAATTTTGGCCAACGGAAAGACTCCACACGTAAAATATTACGTTCTCTATTGCATGGTAAATTTGGAATTTGGAATTTGGAAATGGAACCCAACCTCGTATGAGTAAAAAACAGTTTGGCAGTCTCCATGAACCGAGGCCGAGGTCAAACCAACGCCTCTCGGCCTGTAATAAATTCCAGAAGATCCATCGTTTCTCGAACTAGAATTCTGACATGACGGCGTGAAATGGATCTTCATTTCGGCAAACAACTATGTTTGCATTGCGAACATTCTTCCCGCGAACACACCACAGCAGCTCTGCTACCCAATCCGATCGACTTGACGCATAATACTATTACAAAGGTTGCAAGGGACAAACCATGAGGGACAAACTGCTGGTTGTCGGACGCCAAGCGGCAAATTGCACGCACGATGCGGCGGTCTTCTGCTGCGGGCCGCCAAACAAGTCCAGTCGGCAACCTAGGGGACTTCTGCATTCCCTGTCCTAATGTTAACGTTGTCAAGCCTCCTCTACGGCGAATACCTCGGTAGCGAAGCCTGTGCACTCTCGTCGGTGGCAAGTGCACGTCGTCGCGACCCTCGAAAACTAACAGTTCCATTTGCAAGTCAGCATGCGTGATGTGTAAATGATACTCTCCATGTCTATTGTCAAGCTACTTAAGCCAAGCAATGCGCTCGCGGGAAGAGTTGCACAGTGCCGAGACGGCGCACGATGCTAAATATGGGGCGGATTGCTGAAGCCGCAGGCATTTCAGATATAAACCTCTGGCTGTCTATCAGCAGGAATGCCGACACTCTCACACTTGACGCCCTCGCCGCCCTAGCCCTTCAACTCCACCCGTACGGATTGAACGGGGCCCCGCCCTTTTTCCGGCTTCAAGGAAGCCGACACCAACCCCTTGTCGGAGCTGCACCCATACAGACAGGGGAAACAGGTTATTCTTGACCCTATAACTTATGCCATTCGGCTAAACGACCAAGGAAAACATGACCACATTCTCTATGTGTAAGAGATCTGTGCACCAGCCGACAATCGAACTCGGGTCTGGTCCGTGGCAAGGACCTATGCTACCACTATACCACTGGTGCTGAACACTGCACATGTCCACTGCACAAAAGACTTACCGCCCTGTTCATACTTGCCAACAAACAATTGGCCATGTTCATGCAAACCTGGTGTACTTGCTGATAAAGACATACACTGCCCAGTGAGGGGCTCAGATAGAACTCACAACCACAAGGTTAAGAGCCTTGCCCTCTTCCACTGAATGAGCTGAACAGGCACATTTTCAAACCTCGTACACACAGAGACATGTATGGAGTGTGCACCAATGGATGTGTTGCACAGAAAGGGACCAGACCAGATGTAGGGCTCAGCAGTGGCACAACCAGTAGGGTGCAAAAATGTTTCCCATTCAGATATACTGGATATCCAATCATGGATGCATCTTACAAATACAAATAACCCACTACCCATGTCACTTACAAATTTCACGATCAGACATCCCTCTTCCAGCTATTCACATGTGTAGTATGGAATTCCCACTTATCATGCTCCCAAAATCCACCCAGCACCCAACATGTGAATGCCGAGTAAAGGACATGTTTTAGCTGTTGCAGACATGTGTACGTGGACACACATCCCGAGCCTACCAGGGAACGAACCTGGAGTCTCCAGTTCCGTAGACCGGCGCTTTATCCATTAAGCCATAGGCCCTTATCCGAGTTCAGGCACTCGTTAAACACCAGGAACATGTTGGATTCATTGACGAGCTTGGCACACAGGCCCACATACAGCTCAATCATTAAGCCACAGGGGCACAGGTAGAATTTATGTGCCATGATGTCAAGCAACAACAAACAAAGTGCACAATCTGGTATGTTGATGCACCTTTTTGTGGGAAAACAGGGACTGTCACTTTATACCATACATGGAGCCTTAGGGTGAATTCTCCCAAGGTCGTGGCTGGGTTTCTGAGCCTTCTCCTGCGGTGTCTCTCACTCGTTCCTGTTTGGTTGACTTAAGCTGGCAATTATGGGTGAGTGTCTTGGCAGCTCTTGTCGCCTCCAGCACAGTGCATGGCTAGCTGGCCCATTGGCTCTACTTTTCAAGAGTTTGGAACCCACTGCAAGGCATACATACACAACAAAGGAATGTATTGAACAGGTTTTTCTCAAAACATTGTGATGCTGGGTCATACATACATACTACACAGCTCACCATGGCCATGCCAGCCACCATTCCACATGAAAGCGTGATCCAATGGTACATTTCAGATAGTATTTTTATGTGCAGGTCATCAGCATGGCAATGCATGGAGGATGCAAACTGCAGCCATATGTGGGCCAATAATAGGTGGGATGGATATTTTGAACTGGGATCTGCACATACAATCCCTAAACATATATAGTCATACTTAGTTATGCAGTTTTCGGAGCTGCACCCATACAGACAGGGGAAACAGGTTATTCTTGACCCTATAACTTATGCCATTCGGCTAAACGACCAAGGAAAACATGACCACATTCTCTATGTGTAAGAGATCTATGCACCAGCCGAGAATCGAACTTGGGTCTGGTCCGTGGCAAGGACCTATGCTACCACTATACCACTAGTGCATGCACATGTCCACTGCACACAAGACCTACCACCCTGTTTATACTTGCCAACAAGCAATTGGCCATGTTCATGCAAACCTGGTGTACTTGCTGATAAAGACATACACTGCCCAGTGAGGGGCTCAGATAGAACTCACAACCACAAGGTTAAGAGTCTTGCCCTCTTCCACTGAATGAGCTGAACAGGCACATTTTCAAACCTCGTACACAGAGAGACATGTATGGAGTGTGCACCAATGGATGTGTTGCACAGAAAGGGACCAGACCAGATGTAGGGCTCAGCAGTGGCACAACCAGTAGGGTGCAAAAAAGTTTCCCATTCAGATATACTGGATATCCAATCATGGATGCATCTTACAAATACAAATAACCCACTACCCATGTCACTTACAAATTTCACGATCAGACATCCCTCTTCCAGCTATTCACATGTGTAGTATGGAATTCCCACTTATCATGCTCCCAAAATCCACCCAGCACCCAACATGTGAATGCCGAGTAAAGGACATGTTTTAGCTGTTGCAGACATGTGTACGTGGACACACATCCCGAGCCTACCAGGGAACGAACCTGGAGTCTCCAGTTCCGTAGACCGGCGCTTTATCCATTAAGCCATAGGCCCTTATCCGAGTTCAGGCACTCGTTAAACACCAGGAACATGTTGGATTCATTGACGAGCTTGGCACACAGGCCCACATACAGCTCAATCATTAAGCCACAGGGGCACAGGTAGAATTTATGTGCCATGATGTCAAGCAACAACAAACAAAGTGCACAATCTGGTATGTTGATGCACCTTTTTGTGGGAAAACAGGGACTGTCACTTTATACCATACATGGAGCCTTAGGGTGAATTCTCCCAAGGTCGTGGGTTTCTGAGCCTTCTCCTGCGGTGTCTCTCACTCGTTCCTGTTTGGTTGACTTAAGCTGGCAAGTATGGGTGAGTGTCTTGGCAGCTCTTGTCGCCTCCAGCACAGTGCATGGCTAGCTGGCCCATTGGCTCTACTTTTCAAGAGTTTGGAACCCACTGCAAGGCATACATACACAACAAAGGAATGTATTGAACAGGTTTTTCTCAAAACATTGTGATGCTGGGTCATACATACATACTACACAGCTCACCATGGCCATGCCAGCCACCATTCCACATGAAAGCGTGATCCAATGGTACATTTCAGATAGTATTTTTATGTGCAGGTCATCAGCATGGCAATGCATGGAGGATGCAAACTGCAGCCATATGTGGGCCAATAATAGGTGGGATGGATATTTTGAACTGGGATCTGCACATACAATCCCTAAACATATATAGTCATACTTAGTTATGCAGTTTTCGGAGCTGTACCCATACAGACAGGGGAAACAGGTTATTCTTGACCCTATAACTTATGCCATTCGGCTAAACGACCAAGGAAAACATGACCACATTCTCTATGTGTAAGAGATCTATGCACCAGCCGAGACTCGAATTTGGGTCTGGTCCGTGGCAAGGACCTATGCTACCACTATACCACTAGTGCATGCACATGTCCACTGCACACAAGACCTACCACCCTGTTTATACTTGCCAACAAGCAATTGGCCATGTTCATGCAAACCTGGTGTACTTGCTGATAAAGACATACACTGCCCAGTGAGGGGCTCAGATAGAACTCACAACCACAAGGTTAAGAGTCTTGCCCTCTTCCACTGAATGAGCTGAACAGGCACATTTTCAAACCTCGTACACAGAGAGACATGTATGGAGTGTGCACCAATGGATGTGTTGCACAGAAAGGGACCAGACCAGATGTAGGGCTCAGCAGTGGCACAACCAGTAGGGTGCAAAAAAGTTTCCCATTCAGATATACTGGATATCCAATCATGGATGCATCTTACAAATACAAATAACCCACTACCCATGTCACTTACAAATTTCACGATCAGACATCCCTCTTCCAGCTATTCACATGTGTAGTATGGAATTCCCACTTATCATGCTCCCAAAATCCACCCAGCACCCAACATGTGAATGCCGAGTAAAGGACATGTTTTAGCTGTTGCAGACATGTGTACGTGGACACACATCCCGAGCGTACCAGGGAACGAACCTGGAGTCTCCAGTTCCGTAGACCGGCGCTTTATCCATTAAGCCATAGGCCCTTATCCGAGTTCAGGCACTCGTTAAACACCAGGAACATGTTGGATTCATTGACGAGCTTGGCACACAGGCCCACATACAGCTCAATCATTAAGCCACAGGGGCACAGGTAGAATTTATGTGCCATGATGTCAAGCAACAACAAACAAAGTGCACAATCTGGTATGTTGATGCACCTTTTTGTGGGAAAACAGGGACTGTCACTTTATACCATACATGGAGCCTTAGGGTGAATTCTCCCAAGGTCGTGGCTGGGTTTCTGAGCCTTCTCCTGCGGTGTCTCTCACTCGTTCCTGTTTGGTTGACTTAAGCTGGCAAGTATGGGTGAGTGTCTTGGCAGCTCTTGTCGCCTCCAGCACAGTGCATGGCTAGCTGGCCCATTGGCTCTACTTTTCAAGAGTTTGGAACCCACTGCAAGGCATACATACACAACAAAGGAATGTATTGAACAGGTTTTTCTCAAAACATTGTGATGCTGGGTCATACATACATACTACACAGCTCACCATGGCCATGCCAGCCACCATTCCACATGAAAGCGTGATCCAATGGTACATTTCAGATAGTATTTTTATGTGCAGGTCATCAGCATGGCAATGCATGGAGGATGCAAACTGCAGCCATATGTGGGCCAATAATAGGTGGGATGGATATTTTGAACTGGGATCTGCACATACAATCCCTAAACATATATAGTCATACTTAGTTATGCAGTTTTCGGAGCTGCACCCATACAGACAGGGGAAACAGGTTATTCTTGACCCTATAACTTATGCCATTCGGCTAAACGACCAAGGAAAACATGACCACATTCTCTATGTGTAAGAGATCTATGCACCAGCCGAGACTCGAATTTGGGTCTGGTCCGTGGCAAGGACCTATGCTACCACTATACCACTAGTGCATGCACATGTCCACTGCACACAAGACCTACCACCCTGTTTATACTTGCCAACAAGCAATTGGCCATGTTCATGCAAACCTGGTGTACTTGCTGATAAAGACATACACTGCCCAGTGAGGGGCTCAGATAGAACTCACAACCACAAGGTTAAGAGTCTTGCCCTCTTCCACTGAATGAGCTGAACAGGCACATTTTCAAACCTCGTACACAGAGAGACATGTATGGAGTGTGCACCAATGGATGTGTTGCACAGAAAGGGACCAGACCAGATGTAGGGCTCAGCAGTGGCACAACCAGTAGGGTGCAAAAAAGTTTCCCATTCAGATATACTGGATATCCAATCATGGATGCATCTTACAAATACAAATAACCCACTACCCATGTCACTTACAAATTTCACGATCAGACATCCCTCTTCCAGCTATTCACATGTGTAGTATGGAATTCCCACTTATCATGCTCCCAAAATCCACCCAGCACCCAACATGTGAATGCCGAGTAAAGGACATGTTTTAGCTGTTGCAGACATGTGTACGTGGACACACATCCCGAGCCTACCAGGGAACGAACCTGGAGTCTCCAGTTCCGTAGACCGGCGCTTTATCCATTAAGCCATAGGC